GTGAGAGGGACAGATTTCACATCTGCCCTGTGTGATCAGTAAAAAGGAGTAGGATGCATGACAGGCATGGGGTATGATGGAGGTTTGTGATGAGTGGGGAGGGAGAGTGGTGAAGGAAAGTGTCGTGTGTGTAAGAATGTGTGCTTCAGCAGATTTATAACTGGGACAATGTGATAGCTACTCCTGTAGGTTTTGTTTTGTGATACTTCTTAAGATCTTTGACTAAAGTCTTTGTTCATTTGTGAGTCAGCATTGAATTTTGCATCCTAGTCCTCCTGCACAGTGCCAGAGAGATTTGAAAACAAGGATGGGGATTTTAAAATCACAGTTTTACTTAATCCAGAACCAAGTCCTGGGGTTGAATGGTGAATGGGACATAATGAAAGTTAATAGATGGGCAGTAGAGTTTTGGATATGTGCAGCTAATGGAGAGTAGGCAATGAGAGACGGGTCAGCACTTCAAAACAGTTTTTCAATTAGTTCCACTCCCATGATTCATCCAATTCCCCTCTGAACGTTTCTATTTGCTGCCATCACCATCTTGAGAGCCCACTTTCTCAAAAAGTTCCCCTCATAAGAACATAAGAACTAGGAGCAGGAATAGGCCATTCAGCCCCTCAAGCCTGCTCTGCCATTTAACAGGATCACAGCTGATTTCATCTTAGCCACAACTCCACTTGCCTGCCTGATCCCTACAATCGTTCAACTTACTATTAATTAAAAATCTGTTTCCTCCTTAAATTATGTCCCAGTCTCCATCGCACTCTGGTATAGTAAATCCCACAGTTTGAGAGAAATAATTCTTTTTAAATTCATTCATGGGCCTCACTGGCTAGGACAGCATTTATTGCCAATCCCTAATTACCCAGGATCAATTAATTACATCACTGTATTACAATTACAATACTGTACATTTGGAATCACATTTTCTAAAGGGCATTAGTGAACCAGGTGGGTTTTACTGTCAACTGGCGATGGACTCATGGTCATCATTAGACTGAAAATTCTCAAATTTTTATTGAGTTTGTATTCCACCATCTGCCATGGAGCCTGAGTCCTCAAAACATTACCTGGTTTCTAGATTGATAGTCTAGTGATAATACCACCAGGCCATCATTTTTAAATGTCCTAGCCCTTATCCTAAAAAGGTAACCTCTTGTTATAGAGATAGTAAGAACTGCAGATGCTGGAGTCAGAGATAACACAGTGTGGAGTTGGAGGAACACAGCAGGTCAGGCAGCATCAGAGGAGCAGGAAAGTTGGTGCTTCAGGTCAGGACCCTTCTTCATTTTCTGAAGAAGGGTCCCAACCCGAAACGTCAGCTTTCCTGTTCCTCTGATGCTGCCTGACCTGCTGTGTTCCTCCAGCTCCACACTGTGTTACCTCTTGTTATAGATTGCCTCATATGAGGAAACATCCCCCTTGTATCTACTTTGTCAATCCCCTTTAGCATCTAATATATCTCAATTAGACAGAGTCATAGAGTCATAGATTCATACAGCATGGAAACAGACACTTTGGTCCAACCAATCCACGCTGACCATGTATCCAAACTAAACTATTTTCACCTGCCTGTTCCTGGCCCATTTCCCTCCAAACCTTTCTCAAACATGAAGTTATTCAAGGATCTTTTAAACTGTACCTTCATCCACCACTTCCTCTGGAAGTTCATTCCACACATGAACCACTCTCTGTAAACAAAAATTGCCCCCTTGTCCTTTTTAAATCTTTCTCTTCTCACCTTAAAAATATGCCCCCTAATTTTGAATGCCCCAACCTCGGGAAAAGACCTTTGCTATTCATCTCATCTATGCCCCTCATGATTTTATAAACCACTATAAGGTCACCCCTCAATCGCTTACACTCAAGAGAAAAAAAAAATCCCAGTCCGTATCCTCTCATTCTTCTAAACTCGAGCGAGAATAGCCCTTAACTGCTCAATGTTTTTCTTTCAGCTTCTTTGTGCACTCTGTTAAATCTGTGTTGACTAGTTACCGACCAACAGCCCCCTCCCTCTCAGCACACGCCCACCACACTCTCCACACACCTCACCCACTCCCTTCAACCATTGAGAACACTCTTGTCTTGTTTATGCTATCAAAAGCCATTATGATTTTGAACACATCTATTAAATCCCCTCTTAACCTCTCTTGAAGAATTGTTTTAATGTCGAAAATGTAATTGGATTGAAGCTGTTGGTTGAATGACGAATAATAGCCCCAGAACCTGGGGAAGAATTGCCCTCTGCATTTCTCTAAAATAGTGCTTTTAGATAGAGTCATAGAGATGTACAGCATGGAAACGGATTCTTCGGTCCAACTCGTCCATGCCAACCAGATATCCTAAATTAATCTAATCCCATTTGCCAGCATTTGGCCCATATCCCTCTAAATCCTTCCTATTCATATACCCATCCAGATGCCTTTTAAATGTTGTATTTGTACCAGCCTCCACCACTTCCTCTGGCAGCTTGTTCCATACACACACCGCCCTCTGCGTTCTGAAACTGTCATGTGGGAGAGTGGGTTGTGTTGAGGATTGACAGTGAAAACAATCTCAGTCTCCCCACATACCTGAAGTCCTTTATCTATGATAACATTATTTTTAAATATATAACATTCTGACAGGGCTAGGTACAAGCTCCCTCTGGTTAGGGGGATTTTTGGGTCTGGGGGCTATCAAGAACAAAGGATGATGGTCTCAGGGTGTGGGGTAGGCCATATAGGTCTGACATGAGGAGAAATGCCTTCACTCAGAGGGTGGTAAACTTATAGAATTCTCTACCACAGAAGGAAGTACAAGTCAAGTCACTGCAGGCTACAGTCTGATGTTGATCAGCTGGTAAATTGGGCACAGCAATGGCAGATGGAATTTAATCCTGATAAGTGCGAGGTGATGCATTTTAGGAGGATTAATAAGAGAAGGATATGCACAATGAATAGTAGGTGCCTAGGAATACTGAGGAACAAAGGGAGCTTGGTGTATAAGTCCATAGATCCCTGAAGGTATCTGCACAGATAGACTGGGTGGTGAAGATGGCTTATGGAATGCTTGCCTTCTTTACCCGGGGCACAGAATATGGGAGCAAGGAAGTCTTGGTACAACTTTATAAAACGTTAGTTAGGTCACAGATGGAATGCTATGTGTAGTTCTGGTCACCACACTATCGGAAGGAGGTGATTGCACTGGAGAGGGTGCAGAGGAGATTTACCCTTGTCCTCACCTACTCCATCCCACTGGCATCCACATCCAGAGGATCATGAGCCGTTATTGCTGCCACCTCCAGTGAGATGCCACCAACAGATGTATATTCCGCTTCACTCCATTGTCAGCCTTCTGCAGGGACTGTTCCCTCCGGGACACTCTGGCCGACTCTTCCTTCACCCTTAACTCCCCCTTGCAGTCCCAAGGCTCCCTCCTCTGCAAGCCAGAAGGTGTAACACCTGCCCATTTACCTACTCCCTCCCCAGTATCCAAGGGCCCAAACACACCTTCCAGGTGAAGGAGCATTTTAACTGCACTTCACACAATCTAGTGTACTCATACTTACAATGCGGTCTCCTCTAGATTGGGGAAAAGAAGTGTAGACTGGGTCACCATGTCACAGAACACCTACATTCTGTCCGCAAAAAAAGATCCTGAGCTTCAAAGATAGTAGGAACTGCAGATGCTGGAGAATCTGAGACAACAAGGTGCAGAGCTGGATGAACACAGCAGGCCAAGCAGCATCATAGGAGCAGATAGGCTGACGTTTCGGGCCTAGACCCTTCATCAGAAATCATTTCTGATGAAGGGTCTAGGCCCGAAACGTCATCCTGAGCTTCAAGTTGCCTGCCACTTCAACACACCACCCTGTTCCCTGGCCAACATCCCTGTCTCAGGCTTGTTGCAGTGCTCCAGCAAAGCTAAGCACAAACTGGAAGAAAAAGCACCTCATTTTCCACTTGGGAACTTTACCAGCTTCCAGACTCAATATCGAGTTCAACAATTTTACGGCTTGAGCACCTTTCCCCACATCCTTACCCCAACCTGACACACCAGGCCCTGTTATCACATGGTCTGCTATTACACACAACTAATTGTTAGCCACTAATAGTCCCCATTAGCAGCTATTCATTCTCCGAGGCTGACTGTTATTCACACTTTTGTCTGTCTAACTGTTCCTGTCTCTCTTTGGGCTCCATCCCCACCTATCTTTGACTCCTTAGCCCTTCCTCCTACTGCATCTTCTGCATAAAAACTGACATTTTCCAGCTACCATCAGTTAACTCTGATTTCTCTCTGCAGATACTGCCAGATCTGCTGAGCTTTTCCTGCTTTTCCTGGTTTTTTTTTCAGCAGGACATTGCTTAGGATAGAAAGTCTCAGTGACAAGAGAGCCTGGGTAGGCTGGATTTGTTTTCCAGACTGAGGGGGGCTCTGATTGAGGTATACAAAATTATGAGAGGCATAGACAGAGTAGATCGTAAGCATCTCTTCCTCATGGCAGATGAGTCTAAGACCAAAGGGCATAAGTAAAAGGTGAGGAGAAGGTGGTTTAGAGGGGATCTGAGCAAACACCAGACGGTAGTAGAAATATGGAATGCACTGCCTGAGAGAGTGGTGGAGGCAGGTATTCTCACAACATTTAAAACGCATCTGGATGAGCACTTAAAAATCCAGGGTATAGTAGGTTTTGGATCAAGTAAATAGAATTTGTGTAGGTTGGCGTTAGACATAGTGCCCTGAAGGGTCCGTTTCCTTGCTGTATGACTCTGTAACTAAATATATTTGATGAAAGAAATAGATTAGTTTCTAGAGGCGAGAGGAATCAATATGTTTGAAGTGAGGGAGGGATTATGGCGGAGAGACAGAGAATCAGCCATGATTCCCCCTCTTGCTCCTACTTTCTTTGTCTCTTTACATCTCTGCTATTCCCTCTCCAAGGCCTTGATGGTATCAATCTGCTTGATCCAGCTGGAAGACGAGGGGCATTCTTGTTCAGTGTCAGGGTGACTTACCTTGAGATCCCGATGTACAATTCCCATCTGGTGACAGTGTAGAACAGCCTCCAGGATCTGTTGGATGCAGTGACTGGAAAAAAAAATCCAAAAGGAATAAAGAGTAAAAGGTTATCATCACTGGACCTTGTACATACCGTGACAAACATGGTCTAACAGGCTGAAATTCAATCTATGTTATCACAGGGCCTTACAGCACAAAAGGAGATCTTTGGCTCATTGATCCTGTGCTAGCTCTTCGGCAGAGATATACAATAATCCCTCTTCCCCCGCTTTTATCCCAGAGTCCTAAATTTTCCCTTCAAATATTTATCTGACTTCTTTTTGAAATCCATCATTGAACCCTCTTAAAGACTTCACATTCCAATCATAATTCACTGTTTAAAATAAAATCCCTTTTCTCTCCATTGGTTCCCTTAATAATTATTTTAGATCTGTGTTAATAACCCTTCTACTACTAATAATTATTATTTCTTATTCACTCCCACATAACAGTAGTGGGATGGGGTGGCACTGTGGCTCAGTGGTTAGCACTACCACCTCACAGTACTAGGGACCTGGGTTCAATTCCACCCTCAGGCAACTGTCTGTGTGGAGTTTCTACATTCTCCCCGTGTCTGTGTGGGTTTCCTCTGGGTGCTCTGGTTTCCCCACAAAGTCCAAAAATGGTCTGTCCTGGAGGATTGGATATGCTGAGGTGCCCAGGGATGCATAGATTAGGGGGATGAGTCTGGGTGGGATGCTCTAAGGGTCAGTGTGGACCTGTCAGGCCAAAGGGCCTGTTTCCATACTGTCAGGATTCTATGATAAAGCAATTAATGACTTTGAATATCTCTATTAAATTTCTTCTTAGTCTTTTCTCAACAAAGGAGGTATCCATTTCTGCACATAAATGTAGGAACATGAAGTTCCTCATGTCTGTTTCACACCTCAGTGAGATGGTGCACTGGAAATCAAGCCCCATTATTCCTGTAGTCATCACAAAAGGTAAAGATTTTATAAAATTATGCCAAATTCCTCAATTTACTGTCATTTAGACGAAGGTTGAGAGAAAGCATGGACCGGGTATCTGTACTGAACAAGAATTACCATTTATTACAAATACAGAGATTCTAGCTTCAGGTAAATGAGCTAAGCGTGGACAGGCAATGCAGGAGTCCCCTGTGGCCATTCCCCCTGTCAAACAGGTATACCATTTAGATACTGTTTGGGGTGTGATGGTCTCTCAGGGAAGGCAGTAGCAGCCAGATCAGTGGCACTGTTGTACAGCAGGGAGGGTTGAAGCGTAGGCAAGCAGTAGCAATAGGGGACTCTATAGTCAAGGGCACAGATAGGTATTTCTGTGCCCGCAAGAAAGGCTCCAAGATGGTGTGTTTACTCCCTCGTGCCAGGGTCAAGGATATTTCTGAGCAGGCACAGGATAGTCCGAAGGGGAGGGTGAGCATCCAGCAGTTGTTGTTCACATTGGCACTAACAAATACACAGAGAGAGAGAGATGAGGTCCTGCAAGGGGAGTTCAGGGAGTTAGGTAGGAAGTTGAAAAGCAAGACCATGAGGGTTGTAATCTCGGCCTTACTCCCTGTGTCACATGATAGTGAGGCTAGAAATAGAAAGGTAAGACAGTTGAATGTGTGGCTAAAGAGCTGATGCAGGAAAGAGGGCTTTAGATATCTGCTTCATTGGGATCTCTTCCAGGGCAGGTAGTACATATACGAGAAGGATGGGTTGCACCTAAACTGAACGGGCACCAAAGTCCTGGCTGGGAGATTTGCTAGTGCCACTCAGGAGGGTTTAAATTAGTGTGACAGGGCATGTGGGAACCAGAGCAATAGGTCAGCATGTGGAGTGATTGAGGAGAAGGGAAGGGCTAAATCAAATCAGTCTAATAAGATCAGGCAGGGCCAGGTTAATGAACATGGCGGGACTGGTGGTCTGAAGTGTAGTTACTTTAATATAAGGAGTATAACTGGTAAGGCAGATGAGCTTAGAGCCTGGGTTAGTACATGGGACTATAAAGTGGTAGCTATTACAGAGACTTGGTTGAGAGAAGGGCAGGATTTGCAGATCAACGTTCCAGGGTATTGAAGTTCAGGCAAGATAGAGAAGGATGTAAAAAGAGGTAGGGGAGTTACATTACTGATTAAGAAGGATGTCACAGCTGGTACTGAGAGAGGACGTTGTGGAGAGCTCACTTAGCGAGGCCACATGGATAGAACTCAGGAATAAGAAATGTGTAGTTGCTATAATGGGATTATACTACGGGCCTCCCAATAGCCAGTGGGAGATAGAGAAAAAGATATGTAAGCAGATCAGGGAAAGATGTAAATTTTAGTGGGTGATTTTAATTTCACTGGGACTCCCTCAGTGCCAGGGCCTTAGATGGGACAAAATTTGTTAGGTGCATCCAGGAGGGATTCTTAAAAAACATAAAAGGTAGTCCAAGAAGTGGAAGGGCCGTATTAGAACATGTATTGGAGAATGAGCTTGGCCAGGTGATTTATGTTTCAGTGGAGGAGCATTTTGGGAACTGTGATCATAATTCTGTAAGCTTTAAGATAGTTTGGGGTTAAGGATAAGATTGATCCTTGGGTGAAACAGCTAAATTGAGGAAAGGCTAATTACAATGGTATTAGGCAGGAAGTGGAAAAAGCTGGACTGGGGACAGCTGTTTGAAAGTAAATCTGCATCTGACATGTGGGTGACTTGTAAAAAACTAGTTGACCACAGTTTAGGACAAGCATGTTCTTGTGAGGATGAAAGACAAGGATGACCCCTGGGAAGGCAATGGCCTAGTGGTATCATCGCTGGGCTATTAATCCAGAGACCCTGATAATGTTCTGGGGACCCAGGTTCAAATCACGCCACGGCAGATGGTGGAATTTGAATCCAATAATATCTGGAATTAACAGTCTAATGGTGACCATAAATCCATTGTCAATTGTCGGGAAAAACCCATCTGGTTCACTAATGCCCTTTAGGGAAGGAAACTGCCATCTTTACCTGGTCTGGCCTACATGTGACTCCAGTCCCACAGCAATGTGGTTGACTCTGAACTGCCCTCTAGGCAATTAGGGATGGGCAATAAATGCTGCCTAGCAGTGACTCCCTCATCCCATGAATGAATAAAGACAAGATTTGGGAATGTTGAATAGTGAGAGACATAAATTTAGTTAATTAGGAAGCAGAAATCAGACAGGGCCCTTGAGGAACCTCAAGGAAACAGAAAAGAATGTAAGAAAGAAATTAGGAAGGCTAGAAGGGGCCACAAAATGTCCTTGGCAAATAGGATAAAGGAGAATTCCAAGTCTTTTTATTTGCAAATTAGGAGCAAGAGGGTAACTGGGAAAAGAATAGGTCCTGTCAAGGACAAATGAAGGAATTTATGTCTGGAGCTAGAGGAAGTAGGCGAGGTTCTTAATGAGTACTTCACTTTGGTATCCACAAAGGAGAAGGACAGAGAGGGGTTTTTTGATACTCTAAGGGATGTCAATATTAAGAAGGAGGAGGTGCTGGGTGTCTTGAAAAATATAAAGGTAGGTAGGTCCCCAGGGCCTAATGGAATGTATCCCAAGATTCTGAAGGAGGAAAGGGAGGAGATTTCTGGGGTCTTGACAGAGATCTTTGTATGCTCTTTAGCCACAGGCAATGTGCCAGAAGACTGGAGAATAGCCAATGTTGTCTGTTTGTTCGAGAAGGGCAACAGGGCTAATCCAGGGAATTACAGGTTGGTGAGCCTTATATCAGTGGCAGTGAAATTATTGGAGAAGATTCTTAGGGACAGGGTCTACTTGCATTTGGAGAGAAATTGACTTATTCGGGATCGTTAGCATGGTTTTACGTGGAGGACGCCTTGTCTCACAAAGTTGAGTTTTTTGAGGAAGTAATGAAATTAATTGATGAGGATAAGGCAGTGGATGTTGTCTATGTGGATTTTACTAAAGCATTTGACAAGGTCACTCATGATAGGCTGGTCCAGAAGAATAAATTGCATGGAATCCCTGGTGAGTTGGCAAGTTGGATACAAAATTGGCTTGGTCATAGAAAACAGAGGGTAGTTGTGGAGAGGTGTTTTCCTGACTGGAAGTTTGCGACCAGTGGTGTTTCACAAGGATCAGTGCTAGGATCTCTAATGTATGTAAAGTATATAAATGATTTGTATGAAAATGTCAGTGGTCCGATTAGGATGTTTGCAGATCACATGTAAATTGGTGGAATTGTGGATGCTGAGGAAGGTTATCAAAGATACAGCAGGATATAGATCAACTGGAAAGTCAGGTGGAAAAATGGCAGATGGAGTTTAATCCATACAAGTGTGAGGTGATGCATTTTGGGATTTCAAATGCAAGGGGAAAATATACAGCAAATGGCTGGACTCTTTGGAATATTAATATAAAGAGGGATTTTGGAGTGCTTCATAATGTTTGGACTCCATAGTTTCTCAGTTACTGGTTTCAACTGTACTTTATGAAGATAATTCCATCCCTAAGGGTATTGTGGATCAACTCACAGCAGGTGGACTACAGCGGTTCAAGAAGGCAGCTCACCACCACCTTCTCAAGGGCAACTAGGGACAGGCAATACATGCTGGTCCAGCCAATGATGCCCAGGTCCCACAAGTAGATTAAGAATACAAATGGTTTCATTCAGTAAAGTGAGATACCCTAGAATGAGAGATAGTAGGAACTGCAGATGCTGGAGAATCCGAGACAACAAGGTGCAGGGCTGGATGAACACAGCAGGCCAAGCAGCATCATAGGAGCAGAAAGGCTGATGTTTCGGGACTAGACCCCCTAGAATGAACTGGATTTGCACTCACACTCCGCCCACACCAATCTCATTCCCAGAGACCAGCTTCACCGTCTGGGAAATGCCAAATGCTCCATGTGAGAGACAGATCTGAGATTGAGCTGTGTCAGAGAGGGCGATGAGAACTAATTGGGTGAGAGTGTGCATGTGGCAGTCTCAGACCAGTGCGCTTACCTGGCATCAGCCTCACTATAGTATTCACGAGCCACAATGTCTTCAAAAAGCTCACCACCAGTGATTCTGTGGAGATAGGAGAAAGTGAATTCATTAAACACATGGCAAGCATGAAACTCACAAAGTGTGTTAAAGTTCCCAAGAATTTAATGACAAGAGCTGGCCATTTCAACCAACTGATGTAGTAAGGTCAGTTCGGGGTTATTGATCGAAGGTAATCCACATCCAGTTCAGTGAAACTCAACAGCCTTTATTAAGTTTACACCTTACATATAGGAGACAGTACAAGTGCAAACTCTCAAGCCTTACACACTGAGATCCCAATTCAAATGATCAGAGCAAGCACTGCGCTGTCAGAGGGTCAGTACTGAGGGAGTGCAGCATTGTCAGAGGGTCAGTACTGAAGGAGTGCTGCACTGTCAGAGGATCATCACTGAGGGAGTAATACATGGTCAGAGGGTCAGTACTGAGGGAGTGCGGCATTGTCAGAGGGTCATCACTGATGGAGTAATACATTGTCAGAGGGGCAGCACTGAGGGAGTACCACACTGTCAGAGGGTCAGTACTGAGGGAGTGCTGCACTGTCAGAGG